AGAATTCTCCTCTCTTCCACTCCCTGCTTTAGTTGTCAATCCCTATACATAAACCCTGTTTTGGGAAACTGGAAGAGTAGACTCTGGCCCTGATCCTAGAATGAGAACTGCTCTAAGTTGTCAGTCTAAGGCTCAGAAACTCAGGAGAAGGTGCAGCTAAGCAGAAAGAGCTGCAGATCCATGAAGAATATTCTAAAAAACTAATGTTGATCCTAAGGAAAGAAACGTCACAGTGGGCTCAAAACTGCTGCAGATTTTTACCTCAATCACATCCCTCCTGGCCTTCAGCATAGCTATGAATTTCACCAAGAGAGGGATTAACCCAAGAACTCAAAATCTGAATTTGGGAAGACCAGAAAGCTGCCACCTGCAGAGTCAAAGGTTACATTGTTCCTCGCACAAGACACAGAAACACTACTGCCCTGGCTATAGCACACTGCAGATATTTAGCCTGCCAACAGACATCTAACATATCCACCATATTAATCGCAATTACCTTGCTGGAGAAGGGATTGTTGGACAAAAATGCAGCCAGAAGCTGGATGGCATTTTTAACCACTATGACAGATTTGTCTTGGAGCCGCCCAACAGCCAGCGACACCACAGACTGAAACTGAGTCAAAGGCAGGGCCTAGAACACAAGAGCACAGATAAAGTTATCAAGAAGGCTCAGAGACTTGGGAAGCGTTTACTGCAGACATATTCATATACTAAAAAGCACAGATTATAGATTTATGGAAAAGGTCTAGGGCCCAAAAGACCTATGGTATATTTTGGTCCAGCCTCCACTGAAAACAAGGATTTAGGTTATCCGGGATCCTGCTGAGTTGAGCTTTAGTGTATCTGGTAATCGTGATGTTCTCCCATACCAGTGTGTGAAGGGAGGCTGTATGGTATGTTCTTTCTTCTAGTTTGTCCTGGTAACAAATAGCAGCACTTAATTTCCACCCCGCAGTTCCCCCACCCCTGGGATCTTTGGTCTCTTGGAAGAAACTGCAGACATCACAGTACACAGGGACAGCACCTTCCTTTGTTAAAACTTCAGTCTCTGCAAACAAAAAGGAGGGTGGCAGAAATTCCCTCAGAACACACAAGATGGGAAAAGGTGACTGAGGCAACACCACTTGCCTTGCACTGAACGATGTGAGTGAAGAGCTGCAGCACACGGCTGCGAACAAAGCTATGGACGTCACACACATGGGCCTGCAGTATATCCAGGAACTTGTCCCGAGTACCACGGGCAGCTTCCTCCAGCTGGTCACCATTCAGCACCTGCACCAGCACTTCTGCCATAGCTGCCAGAACGGCATTTCGCATCATGTAATTCTGCCAAGACAGGAGTTGTTGAATTAGGTACAAAAAGACATGATTTGATATGCCCAGAGTTTGGGCCGTCCAAATCCCAGGCTCCAGCCCTAAGTGAATTTTTTCAGTATGGATATTGTATTGAGCTTGGGTGAACATAGCTATGTCTGCAGGACAGAGTAACCTCTGCTATGAAGACAGGTTGAGAGCTGGTCTTGTTTCAGCCTGCAGAAGAGAAAGCTCTGGGGAGGCACCTTCCAGTACCCAAAGGGGGTTGTGAGAGAGCTGGAGAGGGACTTTTAACCAGGGCATTCAGTGATAGGGCAAGAGAGAATGGCCTCAAAGTCAAGGTAGGTTTAGATTAGATATTAGGAATAAATTATTTACTGAGAGTGTGGTGAGACACTTGAACAGATTACCCAGAGAAGCTGTGGATGCCCCATCCCTAGAACTGTTCAAGAACAGGTTGGATGGGGCTTTGAGCAATCTAGTCTAGTGGAGGGTGTCCCTAGCCATGGCAGAGGTGTTAAGATCCCTTCCAATCCAAACCCTGCTATCCAGGTAGGTTCATAGAAGCCAGGAACTGACATACGAAACACTTTTAACAGGTAAAGAAAAGGTAACACAGTGACAAATTCATTAAGTGCTGAAGAACAAGGGACAACAGCAGGGACCTCAGACAAGTAGGCAGTCTCCTGTTCTCCGACATCTGATAGTGACAACCAGACAGTGACACCCAGACAGGAGGTAAGGGCAGAACTTATTCCAATAGAGCAGGTTTTGGATACTTGAGCTTTGTGAAAGAGGTTCTGTTTCCAGACAGAAAAACTGGATAGCAGCATCTCTACCATCTGACTTTTCTGGACAGGTAACTTTGCAGCAACATACCTCCCCATCCAAGTGAGGCAGGAGAACACTCATGTTGGAGAGCACCAGCGCTGGAATCTGTTCAGCCAGTTCACTTATAAAAGTAGCATAACCCCTGACTCCAGACGCCTCACGAGCCAAATCCTGGAGACATTTCTGTCCAATTTCCCTTTACAGAAAGATGAAACAAGGAACGGGGTGCATTAAGTTGCTAGGGATAGAAGGACGAGCCTCCAGGTATTTCTCTCACCTTAGCAGTTCACCCACTAGGCTTTTCAGACCATACTCTTTAGCCCAGAGGCTCACGGCCCGTGAAAACACTGGGGCTATGTGTTCGAAGTGCTGCAGCATCTGTGTGATCTTGAGAGTGGCACCTTTCACACGTGAGAAGGAAGAAAGAGGTCAGGGAAAGTAACTGGGAATGGCTTCAGGAAGAAGGTAGAAGAGCAGGAACTCACTGAACATGTGGTCACAGTGAACCAGAGCTACAGCAAGCAGATGTGTCACAGCCTCCCGCGTGACCCGGTACCTCTGAAGGCCGATACTTGGATTCTCCAGGATACGGTAGCAGCTTCCCGTCATTAAGCTAAACCCAGAGAAGACAGACAGCAAACCTCACTATAAAAACTCGCACAAACTTCTGTTTGAGAGATTCTCCAGCATCCCCTAAAAATCAGCAAACATCTGAATTTTTTGTGGCCTACTTGAGAAGATGACATGATTCCTATATAGATGTCTTTTGCCTCGAGCTGTTTCTTCAGTTTCCCAATGATCTGCACGCTACAGAGGGCTGTAATACCATCTCATTGGTAGATCTATCATTTAACCTTTTATCCCTCAGAACCATTCATTCCACAAATATACCTGCTCCAATTCATACCTGACAAACTCTTCTTCCACTGCTAAACCGCCCCAAAGCTGACGGAGATCCAGCTGCAGCAGCTGTGTAAGCAGATGTAAAAGTGGCTCCCTCTCCTCTTCCCACAAGGATCCAGAAGTTTTGGCATGGTTCTTCCTGTTCTAGAAAGGAGATTAAACAGTGAGATACATCAGCAGCTTCACAACGGACAAAACCCCATTCCTACCCTGCTTCCTTCAAAATATAAGAAGTTTGTTAAACTCTACAGCATTAAGACACAGTGAGATGTGTAAGATCACAGGGGGAGGGGTTTTCCCCCAATTCTTCTCTCTCAGCTCAGGCCAGCACCAGTGCCTCGTGTGGTTTAAGGATTATACCTGCATCCACTGCCACCATCTCTACTCACAGGACAGAAATCCTGATAAAATACTGGCACACTAAGTTCCAGCCAGAAACTGAAGAATGAAATAGAAAGGCCTGGGCATCCAAGTCCCTGCTGATGTTTAGATATATGACTGTCCCTTTGGCTGTTTTCCAGGCACAGTTTCACAGAAGCGCCAGTGCTCCACGTTATGCACTGCTCTTGCAGGCATCATGTTCATATAAACTCTGGTATAAAATGACAGATACTACAGAGTTCAACAAGCTTAAAATTTTATTTTGACTTCTATCATCTTTTCTCCAGTACCCTCACCTACCTTCCTACCAGGATCTGCCTCCAAACAACTGTTCTTGCAGGTTTCCATTTCAAAGGCATCCATTAGGCCAGTCAGCAAATAGCAATTCATCTTAAGAGCATTGAGGTGAGCAGCTCGGTCTGCATGGCTCAGCCCAGAGTCCCTCAAGATGGAAGGAAGTTCATTGGAATGATGGGACATCACTGAGGAGAAGCAAAAAATCATGAGCACTCCTTGCCAGGTCCCTCAGCCATCCTTTCTCTGGGAGGCTTACAGCAGCCATCAGATTACCAAAGATGTGTGCTCACATCTCACCAGCTGTAACATGGGCTGCCCCCTGCAACCCAGACCTTGGGCGTGCTGTCTTGTCCTATCCCCACAGCCCTCCCTCAGCTCAGAGAAACACTCGCTCTGAGCTGATACATCCCACAGATATATTTTCCAGGGACACGAGCAAGAGGATTTTCTGTCGGTCTGCCCTTACAGCGAACATGCACAGCTCAGCATCGTCCACCAAGATTACAGACCCGTATGACAGGAGTGGGCTGAGGGTGCAGCCCAGCTGGCCGAGTCACATTAGCCTTTATATCATCATTGAGCTGCCAAGTGAAAACAACCTCTCCATTAGTCCAGCGTCGGCCGGAAACAGCGAGTACCCACCGTGCACCATCAGCTCCAAGGCGTCCTCCTTTACAGCCACACCCACGGTTCGGAAGTGGCTGCGGGACAAACACAGGGCGTAAGGGCGGCGAGCAAAGAGCGCCTGGCAGAGGGGCGACCGCCCGCCCCTCCGTCCCGTCCCTGCCCCGTACTCACTGCAGCACGCTGTACACGCAGTCGAAGTGCTGCAGCACGGCCAGCGCGCCCCGCGCACGGACGGCGGCCCGGAAAGCTGCGGCAAAACACGGAGAGAGGCAGAGGGATGGCCGTGAGGCGGCGGCAGGACCGAGCCCAACCGGGAAGGGGGTGTGGGGACACCTTACCTGCGAGTGCGGGTGGCAGCTCGCGAGCGGGCAGCACCTCCTTCACCATGTAGCGCCCGGGGCCGCCATCTCGCAGCAGATCGGCGGGAGCAAGAGGCAGATGGAACTCCGGGGCCGCCGCCATGGCTGCCACAGCCCCGTACGGCCCCGGGCGCTCGAAACTGCGCGCGCGGACAGCGCTCGCCCCGCCCCTTCCTGCCACGGGCCTATCAGCGCCCGGCGGCTGCCGACCCCTCGCCCAATCGCCGAGTCCCCTGCCTCCCGACCGTTGGCTCTACGTCACCCGCGCGCCCCTGCGCTCCCCGGCGGAAGGGGCGGCCCGGCGGCAGCGCCGCTCTTCCCTTCCCGTCTCGTCCCGGCCCGGCCCGGCCCTTCCCCGGGGCACTGGGGGTCATCTCCATGGCGGCGGCGGCGGCAACGCTGCTGCTGCGAGCGGCGGGCCGGGCCCTGCTGAGCCGTGCCGCTCCCCTGCCCCGCGCCGAGCGCAGCATTAGCGACTGCGGAGGGGCACGCTGGGCGCCCGCGCGGCCCGGCCTCCCCGTGCCTCTGTCCTCGCCCCTGGCAGGGCTCTCCCGGCCCATTCGCATTAAAGAGCCTCCCAAGCGCAAGCCGGTAGATCGGTGGACGAAGAAGCGGGCCTTGTTCGGGGTGTATGATAACGTGGGGATCCTGGGTAAGACACACACCCCGCCCGCACCTCCCCAGCGCCATGGCCCCGGGGTATGAGGGGAGGGAGGCTGGACTCACCTGCGGGCTGGAGCCTCTGCCAGCAGCGACAGGGCGGGGAGGATTTGGGCCGGCCACCCTGGGAATAGCCTTCTCCAGTGCCTGGCTTCATCTTTCTCTGCTCTGCTATTCTCAGGTGGCTTCCAGATCCACCCGAAGAATCTCATCATGGGGCCCACTTGGCTGCGAGGCTGGCGGGGGAACGAGCTGCAGAGGTGCATCCGCAAGAAGCAGATGGTGGGCGATCGGATGTTTGTAGAGGACTATCACAAACTCAACAAGAGGATCCGGTACTTGTACAAGCGCTTCAATCGCACCGGAAAGCACCGCTAAGGCTTCAGCGTGTGGAGTGTACTTTTGTGGCATTGCACTCAGAATAAAGCCAGCTTTCACACAACTGAGTTCCCAGTGCTTTCTACAACCATTGCTGCATATTTCTACCCTGATCCCAAGATCCTACTGCTGCTCCAGGCCTGAGCTCCTCTGTGCCCCCTCAGTCATTTCTGACATACTTCTTGCAGGCATCTGTTCCAGCCTGCATCCCTGAACTTGACCCTCTGGTCCTCTGGTTTTTTTGTCCAGGCCTCTAACATCCTTTCAGTCTCTGAGCCCCAGGTTCATACATCTAACATGACAATTGCAGTATTCTCCAGCTTGGATTTTTCCTCATAGCCAAATTTTTCAAGTTAGTGCCATGAAGTTCTGCTAATATATCTTCCTGCTCATGGCTTTTCCCCTTGCCATCCATTCATCTCTGCTTAAGTGTGAATGATGCAAATGTTAGTTGAAACGCATCAAAACTTGTCTTAAGAATGGGATTTGTCTCGTTGCACACTCATGATGACTTGATCCCCTGCTAATGATACTAAATGACCAAATGGCCTTTTGTTTATAATTTAGGCAGGATTTGCAAAAATAATTCAAGTATTCAAATGGGTTTTCTAGCTCCTAGTTTTCCATAACTATTGCCAGTTCCTTTAGAGGAGAAGTTACAGTGAGTCACAGCTGGCATCCCTGTAGTCCAACATCACACCACTGTACCCTTGGGAGAAATCCATTAGATGAGGAGGCATTTGTGTACCAATTCTGCCTTGGTCGTTAATTCAGCTGCTAAGTAACGGAGTTATCTGCTGACTTGATGTATCTTGCTACAGAGCAATGCTCCTCAGTCTCCAAAAGCATTTGGTTGGAAGCAGCAGGGAATTAATGGAAAGAACTTCCTTTAGGCCTAAGCCTGAGGAAAGTAGACGCAAACTCTCTGTTTAAACAGCTGAAATCCATTCTCAGGAGCAAGGCTGACAGACCTGTGAGACTTGACAAAAGGTGGTGTGGATTCAGGAAGCAAGTGGAGACTGAGCAAGTATAGCAAGTCCTTGACTGAATATATGTCGGAAGCTGGAAAAGTATGAGAGAAAGTATCTTGTAACCTTTGTCATCTCTTAATCCCTAAGCACCAACTGGCAAGGTGGCCATTAATTCCATAAGCTCAAATTTACTTGCAGTGGCTATTGAAATGGTCCTCAGACTGCAGTGGAAAGGCTGCCAAGCTACAGAAGCTTCTTCCTCAACTTGTCCCTTCCATCTGAAGGCAGTGTAAAAACCTGGAGTTCTGAGGTCAGTGCTAGTCTGCTCCCATCTGCAAATCACCTGTCTATAGTCACAACGCTGCATTATTCTTCACCTTGTAACCACGATCTTCTAGTTACCATGCTGTAATCTGTAAGATATCTGTCTTGTGTACCTAATAATCTGTTGAGATCTGACACTAAAAACTGACATGAACATCCTGCATCACCTTATGGAAGGAAAAGGTAGTGTAGGTGTGAGCCCATGCTTGTCACTTTCTACTCACCACGCAAAATCCTGCACCAAGTGTTCTAGTACACTCCTGCCCCTTTTTTTGTCCTGAATCGGAGAATCTCCCCTTCTGATCCAACAGGCTTCTCCAGATATTTAGACGGAAAAACGCCAAAACACATTGCTGTTCTTGGGGCTTCTGTGGGAGCCTCATTGCTTCCAGCAGGCTGCAGAAGCTCGATCGGGACTTGTTCAGCTTCGCTTTCATGACGTGCCGTATGGTGGAAGTGTGCCAGCGACACCATCTCTTAATTGCAAGGACAGCGGCTTAACCAGAGCCAACAGACACACTGCAGGGGTGGGATTTCGGCAGGACTCCGCAGCACCCACCAAAACGGCGCCAGCCGGGCTGGGCTCCAAGAGGAAAACTGAACGGGGCAGGTAACCACGATCAGGCGCCGCGTGACCTACACGGAGCTCGGCGGACCCGCGCAGGGCTGTCGGGGCCCCGGCTGCTCCAGCGCAGGGCCGTGGATCGGGAGCGGGACCGTGCGAGGCCCGGCCCGGGGCGGCGGAGGGAGCGCCGGGCACCAGCGGCTCGGGCACCCCGGGACTTCCGCAGGGGCGGGGGCGGGGCGCAGGGCGCTGCTCCCATTGGACATCCCCATGGCGGGGCGGGGCTAGCCCCGTGGCGGTCTGGGGGCGGGGCTAACATTATGGCCATTTCCGCAGTGCGCGGAGCGTTGATTGGCTGAGGAGAAAGGCAGGGACGGCGCAGCGCTGCCGCTCCCGGCGAAGCAACTTTCGATTGCTGCTGTCTCTGTGGGCGGGGCCCGCCTGTTATAAGTGCGGGGTCGGGGGGCTCGGGGAGCTGTCTGTACGCGGCTCCGTTCTGAGTGTCTCGCTGTTTTGTCCGGCACGGCCATGTGAGTGTCCGCCCGACCGGCCGTGGGCGAGCTGCGGTAGGCGCGGCGCGGGGGTGGTGGCTGGAGCCTGAGGGAGGAGGGTCAGTGCAGAGCTCGCGTCCTGGCCGGCGGTGGTGGGGTCGGGTGGCGCATTGCAGCAGCTGTAGGCAGGGCTGCCCGCACCGCCCCCGGGCGGTTCTGCTTCCCCGCCGACTCCGTGGCTGTGCCCCAGTGGTGATGTGCGGGTCCCCGGTTGGAGGCAACCTGGCCCGCGGCCACCACTGCGCCCAGCCCGGTAGCTGCCTGGTCCCCTCGGGCTGCCCCCGCGCTGCCTCCCTGTCCCTCTTCCTCACCTTCCTTCCCCGTCTGCTGGTCACGTCCGTGCGCCCAGGTCGCTGTGCTCCCCCCCGAGAGGCCGCAGTGCTTGGCGCGACTGCACCCGCAAGCTCCTTCGGTGAGGGGCTGGTTCTATTCCCGCTGCCCCCCCTGGGCTTGCCCCTGCTTTAGGCTCTCCCACGAGCCCGCCCGTTCCCGATCTGGCGGCATCCAGCGAGGCTGCAGCCAGCACTGCTCCAGCCTGGGGACTCTAGGGTTCGCGTGGATTTTGCGGGGGATTCTCTCTGGAGCGGCTGAGTTTTCTCTTCGCTCATGTGTGTGCTACACCCCTCAGGTCTGACCCAGCTCAGCAGCCTGCTCCCGGCGCTCCCGAAGGAGGGGCTCCCGAAGGAGGAGCTCCCGAAGGGGCAGCCCCCGGTGGGGGTCCCCCCGGGGCTCCCCCCAACCTGACCAGCAATCGCCGCCTGCAGCAGACGCAGGCCCAAGTGCAGGAGGTCAGTAGCTCTGCCAGCCCTGGTGGGTGTCTGACTCCTCGCTGCTCTGCGGCAGCGATGTTCTTCACCGGTGTCCATCGCTGAGGGGGTGGCTCCTTTTGTCATGCCAAAGCCAGAATTAATTAATGCTCAATCAATACTCAAAAATAGGGTGGCAAACCTATTAAAGAGGCTGGAGGAGAAATTGCTTTATATTTAAAAGTCACTTAATTCCAGATATTACTTCCAAGGACCAGGCTTGCTAGATTTTTTTTTGGTACCTCGTTATCGTGCATCTCTTATGGAAACAAAGCTGTACAGCGTCCAGGACAGCTCTTAATCCCTGCGGGCTGCTTCAAGGGAGCCCTGTGTGCAGTGGTGCGGGGGAACCCTAGCCTGGCTTCCCGGGATCGATGTCAGTGGCTTGGCTGCTGACGCGCAGTAGCGCCTTTGTGCCTGGCCGGGGCAGCAACGTGAAGCTCATAAGGTAATTTTGCAGCTCTGGGAGAGTGAACTGAGCGCATGACTCCTCTCATAAGGAGCGTGGCTTTGGCTTGCTGCAGGAATGGAGAGCTCTTAAAAGCAGATGAGGATGTGAGGCTGAGCATGTGGTTGAAGTGTACTTGAACGGATGTTTTAATAGTGAGTCTCGGATTTTTTTTTATTGTTTTTTCATTTCAAAGTAGGCAGCGACTTGAAATTACTTCTTTCTTACCCTGATCTTCCCCCCTCCCCATTTATTTTTTTTTTTTTTTTTAGTATTACAACATCGGCTATTGGCTGTTACTCCTTTTAACTTTTTTCAACTGTCTTTACCAATATAACTGCTCTATTCTTCCTTCTGCAGGTGGTTGATATAATGTGTGTAAACGTAGACAAGGTGCTGCAACGAGACGAGAAGCTGTCAGAGCTGGATGACCGGGCAGATGCACTTCAGGCTGGCGCTTCAGTATTTGAAAGTAGCGCAGCAAAACTCAAAAGGAAGTACTGGTGGAAGAACTGCAAGGTGAGTTTCCTAGTGCCATGATCTCCTTGGTCAGGAGGGAACTGGGCTACTCCTCTCCTGCAGGGCTTTCCAAGTATAGATGAGGCTTCCTGACAATTTCGAATGCATAAAATTCTTTCACTGTGAGAAGGCTTTGAGGCCTTGACTGTCATGCCTTCAGGACCTGGCTTAGGTTCTCTGGCTGTCAGGAAAAATGAGAACTTGTCAATCTGTTCTGACTATTGCTCTTGGACAATCTTTTTCTTCAGATGATGATCATAATGGGAGTGATTGGTGCCCTTGTGGTGGTGGTGATTGCACGTAAGTATCAAAAACCTCAGGCTCAAAGGTGGGGAAACACTAGCTCTAGAGTACTTCAAACTTTTCCTTTTTGTTCAGAGATCTTGAGGGTCTTAATTGTCTAAGTATCAACTCCAGTCTTTGGGAAAGGGAGGTAGTAATGCTGGAACTCCCTCACTTAGTGTGGAAATGGTACGCTTTATCTAGTAGTATGAGGAATGGGAGATGCTATCATTGTAGAAATGGGAAATTCTGACTGCCAGTTCAGATAAACCTGTAAGTATGAGGGACATTTACCCTGGAGTGCATGGGTTGGCAAGTTCCTTCCCTGGTGGGTGGTTTGGAATTCTCTGAGGGACCTTTGGTGTAACTTGCCCTTTTGTTCTTTCCTTTTTTCTTTTTTTCTCTTGCTTTGTCTCCAGTCTACTTTTTTACTTAAATGTAGTTCCTTCAGTCTGCAACCTCCTGTCCCCTATTACCTTGCCTGTCTCTTCTTGCCTCTGAATTTTTCCTTTCCTTCCCTTTCACCTAGCTTCTTCATTGATTTCTTTATTTGTTTGAATTTATCTTCTGTATAGGACTCTGAGCTGCTTATTAAACATAGATAGACTTTTCAATAGCTGCTGTAGCTTTAGGGAGTGTCCTCTGAGCTTAGAGGAAAGGGAAGTTGAGGAAGAGTGGGTAGCTATTTGCTCCTGCTCCTGTGCAGGGAACTTTTTGTGTTTATTTTTGGGTGTAAGCTTGTCAAATAGTGCCTGTGTGAACTCTAGCAAAATAAGAATGCCTTAACACAGTGCCTTTTGGGATGAAGGACTTCAGCATGTGAGAGTCTTTAGTGTTCTGCCTAAAAAGAGTGGTAGCATGACTTGAGCTTTTCATTGAGCTGCTGAAATAAAAGCTAGTTTGTGTTGGCCAGTGGCTGTGAGCCATCTAAGCTGCACCTAGTGATATAGATTTCTCTAGCCATGGAGAGGTGAGCACTTGAAGAACTGATTTATTCTGCCTGTCCTTATTTCCAGATGACTTGCTGCCTGCACATGGCCATTTCAGTTTTTATAAAGGAGGGCCTACATGATTACCTCAGTCAAGTGCAACAGGCTAAACACAGTTAAGTGAAAGGAGCATTGCTACTATCTAAAAGGCATGTGTGGGAGTAAAGTCTCTCTCCACAAGGAACAAGTGTGGGGAGTGTCAAATATGCCTTTCATCTATGCACACACAAGCCAGGACCCTGTAGCTTCCTACTGTCTTGTAGCTTTCCAGAAGGGAAACTTTGGAGCAGTGGCAGAATGGAAATTGGTGTTTTGCTTTTTTGTGACTGGGTTGAACATCAAGGAAACTCACTGCCATAGTGGATAGAGGTGAAGGGGGCTGGAGGTATTCCAGATGAGACTGAATGAGCTGCACAGCTTTCTGATTAAGACTATCTGTGCTGTTTCTGCTGCCACAAAGCCCTAACTTTCAGCAGCAGTTAGAAAACACTTGAAATGGTTAGCTGGAGATTCAAAGGGAAATGGTGCTCTGAGCGTGGGTGTTGGAAAGAGACATCAGATGTCCCAGTTTGGCAACTTATGTTTTGAGAGATCTTGCTGATCAAACTGAATCCTTCTACTTGCTATGGGTTCTCTTGAGTTTAGGTCCAGGGTGGTCTCTGATAGAAGTAAACTTGTGGCTGTGGCTTTCTGTGAGCGATTCCCTTGTTCTTCTCCATCAAAGTAACAAGTGCTATGAGTTGTTTGTATGTCTTGTCAGACATGGGTTAAATGAGCTGCCCTGTTTCTGTAGAGTCTTCCAAGGAATGTGTATCTTGTCTTTAAGCTTTTTTTAACAAGCTGAGCTGTAGCCTATAATCTAGACTGGAAAGAGGGTACTCTTTTAATTTAGAAAGTTCTGCCTCTGTTCTAGAATATACTGGGATCTCTTTAGGCTTAAGAGGAGGCAGGGAGGACATTATTGGAGTTCCCAGATAAGAGCAAAGTACAAAAGGTGGGAGGAGCAGATGTGTTTTGTTTCATTGGATGTGCTGGGGAAATCCCTTTCTGCCTCCCAGGGCATCTGGCAAGGGGCTAGGTTTTGCATGCTCACTTCCATGCCCCAGCATTTCATTTGAGTTCATCTCCCTGCAATTCTATTCCTCTCCACCTCGGGGGAGGGCAGAGCCGAAGATCCTGGAGTGAAGCAGCCCTCGTCCCCTGAGCACTTCCCTAATTCCTTGTGGAACTGAGATGGGATGGACGGTCAGAAGTGCATCTGCTGAAGAGGAGCCAGGGCCTGCTTGTGCTACTTACTGCTCTCATTTTAGGGGGTAGGCTTACAAGCTTGAGGCCCCCAGACCAGCAATCTCGAACTCTTCTAAACAAGCCTTTGGTGCCCCATTCCTCCTGTCTCTCTGGGAGCTGAGGTCCCCCTAAGGCTGTCTCTTTAATTTCTTTCTCTTAGATGTATGTTGCTTCCTCCTCTGCTCCTTTCCCCCTCCTTTGTGTCTCTGTGCATGGGCAAAACAAATCACCAAAGCCCTCTTAGTAAAAGCAAGGGACTGTGCTGCTCACAGCATCACAGCCACTCATGCACGTGCAGTTTATTTACTTTCTCTATAAACACAACTGTAATCTCCTCTGGCATGTTCTGGAAATCAGCTCATGTACTTTTAATGGTCTCTAAGAAACACAATTCACCACCTTACTGAGTCTGTCTGGTCTGTCAGTGAGTGGGAAGGGTTGGGATGCCAAACTTTTGGAAGTTGTTTGGGGTTTTTTTTGTGACTTCCATAGCGTATACATACTTGAAGTTCTGTTCCTCAAAGCAGTGGCTGGCTTTCCATTGTAAAATGATGGCAGTTCCAGTTGTGCTGAACTGACTCTGGTAAGTCTGTAACAAGATGTGAGAACCAGCAGCTCTGGGGGAAGAGGCTGCCCAAGCCAAAGTCTGCTTTCAGCCATCCAATGTCCAGCCACTGTCCTGTTCAGGGGACTGCCTTCTGTGCATTAGTGTGTTAGTGGCAGCTCTGGCTCTCAGGCTGTTCTGCCTTTAGATTTCAATAACCTCGGATTTTTATATTCCAACACCAATGAAGAATTGTTTTCTGGATTTAAGTTCAGGACCCAAATGAAGACCTCCCATGAGTAGGACACTGTTCACAACATATCTTGGAGCATGAACTGGAATAAAGGTAAGTGTCCCTTTGTTTTGCTTCACTGTACATTTGAAACTCATTAAAAGGATATGACAGAGCTTTGTCTAGTGCAGACTTCTTTTAAAATTAGGTACTTGTGTCCTTATCTGCCCTTAGTGCTTCAAAAGCTAGGTTGTAAAGCAATCTTCCCTGTGGCTTCTGGTTCCCTTATGATCGATCACTGTCCAGTCTTAAACATCACCAAAATCACACCAGAACAATGACCACACTAGAACAACTCTCAATGGTGAATTTGGAGCAAGGCAGATAGAGTAATTCTTCAAAGATGGAAACCTTCCTGAGAAAGGAGGGTGTCTGGACTGGCTGGTGGATTAAAGCAGCATGTACAGTCTAAAATTCCGTGCAGTTCAGGCCTGCACAACCTGAACAAACGAGTTGTGCTACAATTCCTGCCAAGTTTTGTGTTGCATTCCTGTCAGTTCTCAGCCTCATTCAGGTAGGGGGATAGGGAAGATGTTTTCTTAGGATAGATGCATCTTTAGACTGTTGATGATAGCGTGTCCAAGTCCCTAGCCAAAGCTGGGGATTGAATGCTTATTTTCCAAAGATGGCAGCTGGACTGGAGCACAGAGCTAGGGGTGAACATACTGCTGAAAACTGCCCCAGGGTTGAGCCCAGTTCATGAGTCATGTGGTTGTTTGCAAAGACTTGCATGTCTAGCCATAAATCCTGTGGAAGGCATTGAAAATACCAGGTTCTAGTGGATGCTCTTCTGAGGTGCCATCCTTCACTGCATCAGCACTTCTGTTGCTCCTGCACTTTCTTATCCCAGACAAAACAGTGTTTAAAATGTGGTCCAAAAGCAAAAGCAAGGCTTTGGGAGAATAGGTCTTTATATGTCTAATTAAAAATTCAAGCTCTGCCTTTAAACACAGAACATGCTTAACATGACTTTGAACTGGAACAGATTGCCCAGAGAAGCTGTGGGTGCCCCATCTCTGGAGGTGTTCCAGGCTGGGTTGGATGGGGCTTTGAGCAACCTGGTCTAGTGGAAGGTGTCCCTGTCTGTGACAGGAAGTTGGAGCCAAGATGGTCTTTTAAGATCACTTCCAACCCAAACCAGTCTGTTCAACATGCAGCTCCCACATCAAGTGCTTCAACCTAATGTCTTCAGATGTGGTGGAAGAACAGCCTCAACTGTATTGCTCCTAAATGGATATACCCTAAACCTTCATATTTCTAGATGCCTGAGGCATTGCTCTGGCCTTTCCTGAGGTGTCTCTGTGCTGGTCAAAGCCAGATGCAGGCTCTCATCAATGGTGGGGTTTGTTGTCTCAGCAGGAGAGTAACCAAATGTTGTTGGGGAAGACAGATTTTTCTTCAGAGTTAGAATGCGGCATCAACACTTTTTAAATGAATCTGGCTTCCTTGGGAAGTGACAGAGATCCCTGCCCTGATGTATCCACAGGGGTTGGAAGCCTCAGCTTGGTGAAGAGAAGTAATAAAGGGGAAGTTTTACCTTTGTTCTGGCCTCTAAACAAATAATTGCTCTGAGAGATGTAACAGATAAAGATATAGGTTTTATAAATGGGCAACTCAGCCATGTCTTTTGGATACCTGAGCCTCCATACTCCTGATAATCTTTTACCTATTTTTGGCCTGAGATAGAGTGCAACACTTACTCAGAACACCCTGACTTGCTCCCCAGGTTTCAAATATGAACAGCCTCATAACATCCTTCCCTTCAGTGTACAGACCCACTAAATGATTTCTGCAGAGGAAAAAATGAAATTTTTAATGTTCTTTCCTCAGAGGCTTCTTTTCCAAAAGCCTTTATACTATTTTTTAAACTAAATTTGCCATAAATTTATTAAAAATTAAGCTCTTTTTAGTTCATTTCTTTTAAGCATGCACTTGGAAGCTGAAGGCACTTTCCTTTCTTGTGCAAACAAGCCTCCTTTAAATATTGCATATTTTTAAATACAAAGAACTGTGACTAAATGTGGCTGTGCCTCTGGTATGTTCCTGATCTCTGTGGTTTCCCTGTGTCTGTTCACCAGCAGCACTACTGCATCTTTCATTTCTTGATGTAGCCTGAAACCTCTTAGATTTTATTGAACCTGTCCCAGGAGCTTGGTGACCCTTCCTTCAAGTTCCTTCATTGTTTGACCTCAGTCTGTGCAGACAAACCTTGACCTATCTGCCCAGCTTCTCTTAAGCCCTCCAGCAAGGAGGGTTTAGTTCTTCTAAATATATTGTTTATTTTCCATAGTGATGGTTCTCTCATTTATTTTCTAGCTTCCCTAGACACTTATGTTGTACTTCCATGCCTTTCCTCTATTACCTTAATTCTTACAGAAAAACAACAGTTTTGACACCTCTTCCCAGTCCAAAGACACAACCTTCAGCTGTTCCCTGCATGTTTTCCATGTCCTCAAAATAACTCTGCTATGCCTCTAACACTACTGAGCATTTACAACCCCTCGACTTCCTCCTCTTGTACAAATTCACCCCAGCTCAGACCTTTAATTTTGCCTTTTGCTGACCTGCAGATCCCCATACATGCATGCTCTCTTCCCTTTTCTCCAATTTTTCACATTCTCAGTGAAACACTCCTATTTTTGCACTCTTACTCCAGCACTGCTGGCCTTGCCTCTTGTTTTCAGCCAGACCAAGCTCACTGTAAATCTGCTGAGCTCATTTGTGGTCTTGCCAGCCTACAAGAAATTTAGAGATTATTTCTGAACAAGGACCTGATTTCTCCCAAGATGGCAGTTTTTTGCACTGATTCCCAGGACAGGGACAGGACAGGCTAACCTATTTACCAACTGTATAACTGCTTCTTCACGTTTGCACAGGCTTTTAACTCTGGATTTACAGCTATCCTGAATGGTGCCATTACTTTGAGTTCATCAGTCAAAGCCCTTTTTTTTTTTTTTTTTTTTTTCTTTTCATTTTAACACTTCTGTGGAACAGATAGAATATGGTTCAGGCTTCCCCCAGGGAATACATCACTACCTTGTACAGCTGTATTTCTTTATGATTAAGAGAACTTACTGTTTCAAGTAGTTAGGCTTCTGATTAATCTTGCTTTAATCACCCACTTAACTACATGTGATGCAGCAGGTCTCATCAATTTTATGGTTATTACAAGGTTATTTATGGTTCTGTGATGTGAAGAATCGTGTCTTATTCTCTGGATATTGAGGAAAGATCATGCTTATCATATGAATGGTATGATATGAATGATATGAATCATATGTTTATGGTATACAAAGACTGGTTTAGGTGTTGCACCTGCTCTTTCTCCTTTCTTGATTTGAAGGTGGCTTTGTGAAACAAATAGCTTTGTGTCCAGTGTCAGGTTTTTGCTCATCTGTGTGCTAGAAAACACCCAAGGCATCAGTCTGCAGTACTGAATTTGTGACCAAGAACTGGGTGCAGCATCCTAGCTCCTCTATCTCCCTGTCTTTTGTGTTTTAATTGTGGCCAGTTACTTTCAACAACTAAACCTAGCTTTTAGCTCTGCCTCTTGGGCAGCATTTTTACAGAACATGAAAGTACCTTCACAGAGGCAATTTTGAGCTTTCATTCATTGCTCTTTTTTACTTCATTTAAAATCAGACACAGAAAATGGAATTTTTCATGTTTGCAGAAGCTCTGATTTTTTTTTTTTTTTTTTTTTTTAATAGGGGGAGCCCCCAAGCAGGAATACATGTTCCCATACCTCTAAGTGCTTGTTGCAGGCCTCTCCCTCCTGATGGGCTCCCACCCTTGCTGAAGGACATCCCCTGAGTTACTTGCTTCTATTCCTAGCAGAGAGATATTATCTTCACTTTCAAACAAGAGTTATCAGCTGAACACTGGGATAAAATTGGTAAAATCAGGAATATTTGTGCAATAGAGAATATAGCAGTTGTTTGTGTATTTGAAGAAGAATAAAATCATTCTCTGCTAGGAATTGAAAAGTGCATTTAGGTAATCAAGGCAAGAGCAGTACAACCAGTATGTGTTTAGCATCTCAACAGGAAAAATTAGGCAATAGTTTAGATACTGCAGTAAACTCCTCCAACTTCCCAAGGGCAGTGCGTCTACCTTGATTTTAAAAACAGCTTCAGTTTTTCTTTTGTTATGATTAACTAGTTTTGAAATTTAAAAGTGGCAGTTTGCAGTGTGATTGGTTACAGGGTTCCACAGGTCTTTGCCTAAATTGCTTAAATTCAGTATCTCTGTCCTGTGAAGTGGGTAATCCTGTTTTTTAAGGACATCACCTTTGCTCTCTTGATACCCCATAAAGTGCAGTGCAAACACCATAGCAGCAGAAGTCTGAATATTTGTAAGAAAAGAATATGGCAAGCTCACTGCAAGAAACGTGTTCTCTTATACAAAGGTCCCTAAATTAGTTCCTGAGGACCATTTTTGCCCACGTGGTCCAATCAAATAGGCTAAGGCTTTCCTTGGAAGCACTTTTTTGATTAAAACCTGCAGTACTTTCCTGTGCTTCCCCCAGGAAGAGGAGGCCTCAGCAGAGTTTTTGTGGGTGGACCAGACAAGGGCTGGGAGGAGCAGAACAGGCACTGCATGACCTGTGCTGCTCCAATCCTCTCTTGCAGGATCCCATGGCAGCAGAGGTTGGGATTTTTGGAGAGTGTGCATAATCCTGCTAAACTCTTTGTTTCCCTCAAGAAGAAAGCAGGGAAGGTCAAGCAAATGTAGAGATCGATTTGTCCCAGAGCTGTTGGCAAACATCAAACAGCTGGATGTACACACGTATAGCGTATCCTAAGGAAGTGGGGACACCCAAGATCTACCAATGCCACAAAGGCAGCTTGAAAAGGGAGCCTTTACTTTGCCGGGGGTGTTTCGTCCCAGACCTGGGAGTGGCAGCAAGCTTCGAGCACCTCTCCAGAGCATTGTGTGTAATACAGATTGAAATCATACCAGTGGCTCTTGTGTCAAGTAGGCTCTCCCTGGGAGGAGGAGAGGGTAGGTGACAAAGTCTTGGGATCGGAGCTAGACATGAACAATGAGGAAAGAGCAACTAGTTTAGGGAAAGCTTAACAAAGCTCAGCCTGTTCAGAGATTTGTGCCCCAGCTGAGACTCTATTCCTGTTCCTTGTCATACCACGAGGAGGCCAGTCACACCTGCCAAACCTCTTTAATTAATGACAGACCAGAACTGTGGCAGCAGTTTCCCTTGTTGGACGGAAAAGAAAGCATGCATGCACATGTAGGTGTGCACATGCACAGAGCATAAGGAAATCGAGAGGACATCTCCCCCATACATACACTAGATCAGCTCTCATCCCTGGTGATCCCACAGCAATAGTATTTTATGAGATTGAAGGATTCGCCTACAGAAGTGAAAGCAATGAGCCCAGGCCAACCACGGAGCAGTCTTTTGCTGTGATGCATGTGCAGCACCCCAGAAAGAAGGAAACACAGGCCCTGCAGACAAAGCGTGCTCCAGCTGCCACCCATCTGAAGAGTGGGAGAAGCTGCTGCCTCACTCATGTCCCACCTCACCATCCCTGCTCGGCCCACGTGGTTCCAGGCTGTTGTAGGATGGCAGTGTGGTCACTACAGCCTCAACAGTGAAGCGATGTGGAGCACTGAGAGCTGGTGCCTCATCTTGGAAAGCAGTGTTATCCTGACTGTGCAGAGGGGGTCCCGGTGGAGACTGCTTCTGCTGAGTGCGGTACCAGCGGAACGCCAGGATAAAGGTGATGGCAATGAAATCCAGAACCAGCTCTGCAAGCTCCATCACAGACAGGACAGAGGATCCAAACCAGAGACTCCACTGGTTCCCAAGCTGGGACAGCAGAGTCACTACCTGCAGGAGATGGAGAGAGAGCAGTGGAGAGAGCCCTCATCTGGGACTTTGCCTCCCTGCCTGTTCCCTCTTCCCTGTAGTGCTGGGAGGGTTTCCCTGACCCTGCCCAAGGAAAAAAGACTCAGTATCTGGCAGTGCTGCTGCAACAAAACCTTGCCACAGTGCAAGGACATCGTAGGGGAATGGGTGGCCAGAGAAGACACAGTAGTAGAGTATGTACCGTGAAGGCTGGAGACTCCCCATTGGTCTTGTAGTTCCACTCCTCAAAAAAGATATTCACTTTGGCAACTCCGTTCCTGTGAATGAAAGATGACACTCAGTAACCCCAACTCCTCAATCCCTGCGTTTCTTCACCAAACCTAACCTCTGTCCCCTTCTGCCCCCCATCCTTCTCCCACACAAACCACCCAGAGGCTTTCTCCCATCTCTGCAGCTCTCTCATTCTGCACTAAATACAGTCTTTGGTACTTAGAGTGCACTCCTGATGCTGTACTGTAAAACCCAATGTTTGTGGCAAAAGTTCCTGCAGCTCTCCTTCCCACTCTTCCAGGAGCACTTACTGTGACTCCAGAACACACAGCAAGTATTGGGGCTTACTATTTTCATATCAGCATCTGACCTCTTTCAAAATTTTTCACTTGGGTCCCCAGCTTTGCTGAAGTCTCAGTATATATCTACTCTGACCCAAATCCACTGCCCTAGCCTATGGGTCACATGTCGGATATCTTCCCATCAGTGATTTAATCTTAATTCTGACATTTCCAACATACACATTCCACTGGGATGGTTTCTGGTTTGGAAACAGTCTCTGTTTAGAGGCACTCACCTCTTGGAAGTGATATTGTATTTGTTCTGTTGTGAAAGCATGTAGAAAACCCAGTCCTGAAATGAAAGTGCAGTGAATTGTTACATGATCACAGTCGCCTCCTACAGGTTTAGTACTAGTTGAGGAAGGACTAAATGGGAGCTGGGAGCAGTGCTGGGAAGCCAGGACACCCTCTCCTTACCTCTGAGACAGCAGAAGGCCAGCGAGAGTATCCAGCTGACAGCTGGTATTCTGTCATTCTGCAAGGCAAGAGGTGTTAGCTGTTGAAGATGTAGGAGTCCAAGGGCCGGGTCTCACCATCCCCAGGCACACCTAGAGATTCCCTCCCATGCTGAAGTTCCACCCACTTCCCACCATGTGGAATGCACAGTCTTTGGGAGCTCACCCCTAAGCCAACCCTGACGCCCCTCAGCCATTTTGGCTTCCTGATGGGAGAAATACCTTTTCAGGTTGGGGCTCAGCTATTGACCCAAGCTTTTGCCTAGTCAGTGAATGTTTCCCAACACTTCTAGGAATACTTTCCAATCTTCCTGCCCGACTGATGGTCAACTTACTTGCAAGGTTTCCGGCACTTGTGGAAACAGCCCAGCACATCAGCTTTGAATTCAGCCAGGAGTTTGTAATAGCAGTAGCCTGAACAGCAAAGAAAGTAAATCCAGGTAAGCTCACTGTACCTTTAGACAAAAGGTGGTGTGTGACAGCGAGGGGGACCCAGAAGAGGTTTCCGTCCACAAGGGGCTAATCATCCAAGGCAAGACTGTCTTTTGGATGTGTCACACCAGGAAGCTCATTGAAGACAATGAGACATGCTGGGATGTGGGCTGGACCAAACAGGTACAGGTAGGCATGAGCCCTTCTGTCCTTGCTGTCCACTTACCCCAGGCTGTGTGCTTCGTGTAGTCACAGTACTCTGCTCCGTCGGGCAAGGGATAGAAGTAATATGCACAGCCACAGCGTTCTACCATGTTGAGCTGAAAGCAGGAGCGAATGCAGACCTGGGAGGCACATAAGGTGGAAAAGGCTGATCAAGGGAACAAACCCACTGCTGCCTGTATCGCATCACAATATTAGCAGCAACCAAGGAAAGGCAAGGCCGTTCGGGGGCTGAAGCATGTCAGGAAAGTGGAGGAACAAGGTGGCCCAGGAGGGGTGAGGGTGAGTTACCTGCTCGGTGTAGCGGGATGAGTACAGGTTTTGCACTGGCACGTCACTGCCATCCTCTGTGCAATCGCTGTAACTGCCCCCAAGGCGCACGGTCATCTCCTGCAACAGCAAACTCTCACTGCGCAGAACAATTCCACTTTGCTGTCCTCTTCCCACTCCCATGCCACACACGGCTCATCCATCAGTATCTGCTCTTTATGCTCTCCTCGGGATGCCAGCTCCCCCTGCTTGTCTCCACTTCATTGTTCACTGATAAACTGTAGCCAAATGCTTCTCATCTAGGCCAGCAAGCTGTTCTTCCTCCTCTCCCTTCACTCCATGTGATGAATCCCTTAAACACACACTGTAGGTCCAACCAAGTTAAACCTCCTGTCCATAGCTCTCACCCCTTCTGCTTGCTCACCTTTCTCATGCTGATGGAGGTCTCAATGCCAGGACGAACATTGAAACCCCCATCATCCATGAAGGCTGGCTCATTCTGATCATGGACCATGACCCTGGCTCCTGTCACCGTGGACAGCAGAGGGATGAAATCATTCTGCTCGGTGCGCACCACCAGAGAGAGACCTGAGGGAATATCAGAGAGCGAGGGAGGTCATGGCCGGCTGTGGTGCAGCAGAGAAGAGAGAGCAGGATGGTTAGAAAGGAGTCTGAAAGAGACAAAGGAAAAGACAGACATCAACCAGAGCTGCACCACAGCTTGGCAGCAATAGGGGGTGACTGGAAGGAGGCCAGAGAAAAAGCTGGATGCTCCAGAAGAGGCCTAGAAAAGCCTGTGGCTTAGAAAAAACAGAACTGGGAATTGAGAAAGATTTCATGGAGAAACTTGGAACCAGATGGAAGAAAAGCCTGAAGATTTGGTCTGGAAAAGTTTCAGGGGGTTTAGGAACACAAACAGGTCAGTTTCTTGAAAGAGGAAAATGGGGAAGGAGAAGACCAGGAGGAGCACAAGCACTATGACTTAACAGAGGACTTCAAGAAGGGCCAGCACAAGTCCAGAGGACACAAAGAGCATAAGGATCAGGCACTGATGAGGGAGAGAGAGTTCAGTGGGCAGTGGCGAGGAACAGCCATGTCCATGAGACAGTTGTCTCCAGATAGGTGAAAACAGCTTGGGCGAGACAGAGCAGGGCTGCAATCTGCCACCACCAGTACTAAGCACAGCAGGATGCCCATAGCTCCTAGGGAAAACAGAGCTAAGCTGTTCTCCTTACTCACCAAGGAGTGCCTCTCACCCACCATTATTGATCCCAGGCAGCGAGGATGTCCACACGCTGCTGCTGTTGTCATTAAAGGTATAGCAGTTCCCATACAAGGGGTGGTGGAAGTGGGTGTAGTTCCTGAGAGGGGAACAGAAACATTCAAAGAGAGGAAGGGCTGTGAAACCAAGGGGAAGGCTTTCTGAAAGTAACAACTCTGTTTTCCATCAGCAGGGAGAGGGGCTTACAGCAGATGGGCAGTATTTGTTATGTAAACTCACAGGAACAGGGAAAAGCAATTAAATTGTGCTGTAAAAAATGTCCTGGAGCTGGACAGGTTTTTACACAAGGCTTTTCATGCTGCTTTTCAGAGCCCAAATGGGTTTTAGCACTGCTAGCAATTACTGTATTATCTTCCTAATACTGATGAAACTCTTAGCTTTTCCTATCCATTTTCCTCCCTTGCAGATTGTTTTCAGCCCACTACCTTCTCGGGGCTTTTTGACCATTAATGGCAGGAGGAAAGTGAGATTATGTTTTTATTGTATTTTTGTATCAACTCTCTCTTCTCTTTTTCCTTTATGTGGGCTGATATGTACTACTTTACCACTGTGGAGGGTAGAATAAAAATACTTCTACGCTGTACATCTGTGCTCACTCTGGTGTTTTTACCATATAATTATTTCATTTGTGTGAAACCCAGAAAAAGGCAAAATCATCCTTGGAGGTTCATAGTTCCAGGCCACAGGACCTGTGGCCCTGATACGCAAAACCCACAGGAAAGATTCAACAAAGATAATTTATCTTTCAAATGGGAACTGAACAAGGAACGAACCCACCTCAGAAAAGAGGCTCTCTAACGTGGCTTCCTTGATTCCCTCGAATCCAGGCACAAAACAAGTGTTTTCAGAGGTATTTCCACTACTTACGCCTTGTCACACGTTGCCTCATTGAAGCGGCAGGCATAGATGAAATTCTCAAAGTCAGACTCATCCAGGGCTTTTGCATCAGGCACCTGCGCCAGGATATTGATGTAGTGAAAGCTGTACCATTCCCGCACAGCATCCACTCCCGAGGAGTACGCCTGATGGAAACAGTCGTTGTTTTCACTGCACTGTTAAGGAGAAAAGCCGTGTCAGAGAAGTCTTCCTGTCCGGGAGACAAGGCTCTGCCCGTGGAGAAGCTATGCTCCCTCAGCACACACGGATGACGGAGGAAATTAAGAGTTCCATAGGACTCCTGTGTGTGACCAACAGGTGATGAGCAGGATAGGGAAATAACCCAAGGCAGCTCCTCGGTGGAAGGGCAATGCCAGGCGAAGAAGCAAGGCTGAGTAAAACCTGGGAGGCAGCAAGGTGTGTAGGGTAATCTGCACATAAATTCTACCTGGTATAAAACCAAGACCTTTAAATTCTTGCGTGGGGAGCCCTTCCTTCAGGGTGTGTCCAGAAAAACGTTCTCGATCCCGTGGAAACTCGTTAACTGCTGAGCGATTAGCCTCAGTCTTTCAGGGCCTTTTAAAATGCAAACACAGATAGATACCCTAGGGCGAGGAAGCTGCTACCTAGGAGCAATTGCGACCATTATCACATTTCAAGTGGCCCAGGATCATCAAATACTTTCTCCTTTGTTATTACTGGGCAATGCAGCAGCTGATGCTGATGAACTGCTCTCAAAAGCAACTGCAAGGCTGATGTATTCTCAGGAAGGACAAGGGTTTCCTGCTCTTGGGAAGAGATGTACACTGACATGGACGTCCCCTAGGGCCTGCATGAACATGGACAGAATTTGGGGAGCAGGACTGTATGGAGCAAAGGATTCAGCTCTGCCTTTATCTGTCATTAGCAAAAACCAGTGGAGATTAATCAGACTTCTACGTAAGGAAAGGCATGGCCAAAGGTCTAACAAGACAGAAGTAGCCAGGCAGAGACTGGAGTGGGTAGGGCATGGGGTATCTAGGGATCTCACCAGAACAAAGCCAATTTTCCAGTCATTCTTGTCCACTGAGGGACTGTTCTCTGGCAAGTTGACCAAGTTATCCCGCTTCTGTCTCCGCAAAGGATGGCGCTGGACATGATGGAGCAGGCTCCTTGTGCTACGCTTTTGTGTGGACGATGTGGACCAGTCTCTTTGTGGCAGAGACATGTTGTAGTCATAGAGGTCTAGCAGTGTCTGCTGAGTGATTTGGTCCAGCTTATCCAGCTGCTTTCGGATGGCGCTGTATCTGTACAGGGGGGAGAGAAGACCAGCAGGTTTAAGGCTGGATGCACACAAACAGCTCTGAATAAGACATGCAGCAGTTTGCTGGGGTGATTCTGGGCATTCCTGCCACCAGGAATCTAACCCATTGCTGGAGGCTATCTTGCAGGAAAGAAGTAAATCTGCCCTAGCCCTGTGGCAGTTTACATCGCAGCCTGCTAATAACACCACCAAGCAGAGCTGCCTAAGCTAACATGCCTTACTGTGAGTGCCCTGCAGCAGCAAAGACCTCTGAAAAGTGTCCTTTCCACCGGCACGGCTACAACAGCGGGCAGTCGAGGATCACGAGGAGAACCAGAGTACATGCCTTTACCCTGCACCTATCAAAGTCAAGGCAGTCAACATCTCTGCAACTCTTGTTTCTTACCTGTACGGATTGAGGGTGCACAGCGTCACAGCCGGGAAAGTCAGCCTGTCAGAGTTCAGGTTGAGGTTGAGGTTGACAGGGTAGCTGAAGTACTCTCTATAGAGGATCCCGAACTGCCAGTACATTAAGCCGAAGGTGAGAAAGAAGAGAACGGACCAGAAGGCTGTCTTCATCTTATTCTTTTTGGAGCACACCAGGCGGATAGCCCCGTGGATGGTTGTGTTGCTGCAGAAGAACTGGAATAGCTCCTGGTAGGAACTGTAGAATTCGATAAGACCCTCCCGCTCCTCTTCTTTCTGCTGCTGCTCCTCTTCTTGTTTACACTGTCTCATTTTCTCCCCTTCTGGCATCTTCCCTGCCTTCACAGATCCACTCTACAGCACAAACTCAGAATTAGTCACCCAGCAAGACTGTGGCTCCGGGAAAGCCATGCCCGCTGCACAAACTGGCTCTGCATCACCCTCTTCCCCAAGCCCCGCTGCTTTCACCCTCTCCTCCCTGACCCCCACCCAGGCTGCAGGTCCCCCTCCGAATCCTCCCGTCCCGCATGTGACACGAGGTCGATCCTCCCCCCGACGAGCCCCCCCGTCCCTCCCGCCGGGGCCGCGGCACTGACGGGGGGCGCGGTGCCCATGGCGGGCGGCGGCTGCTCGGGCCGGGGCCGGGGCCGGGACCGGGGCCGGTGTGCTCTGCCCAGCGCCGCCGGCTCTCCCGCAGCCTCCCCGGCTGGGCTGGGACCGGTTCCTTTCCAGTTGGAGCCAGCACCCCGCCCGGCTCCTGCCCTGCCAGCCTCTCCCCGCCCCTCCCGCCTGTCCCTCCTGCCTGTCCCTCCTGCCTGTCCCTCCTGCCTGCCCCCTCCTGCCCCTGCCCCTGCCCCTTCCCCTTCCCTCAGGCGCCGCTCCCGGGGAAGAAAAGCCTCTTTAAACTCTCGAGTGTCGGCGGCGGGAGGACTGGCGGGGGCCGGGGGTCCAGGGACACGTCGGGGCGGTGACCTTGGCGGTGCCGGCGGGGTCAAGACGCTCCCGGGGCAGCGGGGCCCCCCGGCCCCCCGAGGGGAGCCCGGCCCCGGCCGGGTACGGCCGCCGAGCCGCCTGAACCTCCTCCTCCCTCCCCCTCCGGCGGGGACGCGGCGTCCCAGCGAGCCCAGGCGATGCAGAAACAAAGTTGGCAGCGCTGGTCCCCGAGGCACGGCCGGCCGGCCGGGAACCCCCAGGGCCCGTCCCCCCGGGACCTTGCCCTGCCACCGACCGGCGGTGAGGGTCTGGCTTTCATCGCCGAACTCTGCTTTCCGAGGGCAAAGCCGCGAGTTTCGGGTGGGACCTGCCAGAGGGATGGAGCTGAGACTGACAAGGCTGGGGGCGAGTCAGCGCTACACCTCAGCTACCGCATCGGCTTTGCTGGTGCCTTAACAAAAGAAATCTTTTTGTGCCCATAACTGCCTGGCCCAGCCATGAGTGGGAACTTGTTTTGCTGAGCTGTGCCTGGGAAATCAAGGGCTCTTGGCATTACCCTAAGCCTTCCAGTGTTTCCTCGGACCACGGAAATGAACACCCTTAGCGTAATGTGACTGAAAGTCCCAGACGCTCTCCCGTCATTATAACTGTGAAACTCTTTTACCAATCTTTTCTCCCAATGATTTTCTTTCAAACTAGGTCCCACTGAAGTTTTCACTTATTTCTTCCCTTTCGGATTACTTCCTTCAGATAAGTCCTTGTTCAGAGTCTTTGGTTACTGAATTTTGATCCTTGTTGAGTTAGCTGTGGTTTGGTTAGTGACTCAAAATACTCAGCCACTTTCGTCTCTTCATATTGCAAAATTCCGTGCTTGAAAATGGCAAGCTTTTGAGGCCAGCAGTTAAATGTCAGCATGCCAGGAACAGCCTTGCGACAGGTGCTTGTTACAAACCTACAGCAACAACTTAGAGCGTTCCGCTAGCTCCATCCCCTGACAAAAAGCAATGCAAAGCAAAAGTACCCTTTCCCCTGCAGTTCTAAACTTAATTGTATCGCCAGTAAATTGTTTTTGAACTTTCATGGAAGATAAAAGTTGCGAAAAGTGGGTGGCATGAGGTGAATGGACTAATATTGTATTAAATGCTTATTAAAATGCAGCTGACTCAGAGCATTACTGCGTCAGCTTCTGGGGCCCCCAGCCTAGGAAGGACCCGGTCCTTTTGGATAGAGTCCAGAGGAACTAGATGACTTTTAAGGTCCCTCCCAACTCGAGCCATTCCATGATTAGAAGTATCCTAAGTTGGGTTGACAGTCCGTGCAGCTCCGTACCCCATCTTGGGCAGTGCCAGTAGGAAATGTCATTTAGTAGAGGAACGCGAGCTCTTCTGACTTGTGCCACTTGCAAATTTCATGCACTCGGATAGACCTGGAGACTGGGAATTATGCAGCATTGGTGGTTACAATTACCAGTGGAACCTATGGAGCTCTAAACCGGTTGCTTCACAGAGAGAAACTTGTGTGTCTTACATTATCACAATTTTCTGAAATTACTGTTACACTAATGGACTAATCCTCCAGTACCACCTCTCTTTTACTGGAATTGTGACTCTATCTTACTGCAGTAACAAAAGTTATTTTGCCTCTGAAAATGCCCCTTTTATACTCCTTTAAGTTAACAGCACCCACTAAGCAACTACAGCCAAATTTGGTAACCTGTGGGCATTCTCTGATTTCCACAGTATGTAATAGAATTTTAAATTCCCTTCAACTGATCTTTGCAAATGATTTTCACAAGCATGGTCCTCTGTTGGTATGAGACAAAGGTAACTTACATTTTTTGTTTTCTTTTGACTTGAGGAATAATTAAAACCTCAAACATCTGGACTGATTTGCTGTATCCAAATGACAGACTAAAGCAATTTTCTCAGCATCTTGTCATAGCTGACAATTTCCATCACCATGTTGCTTTGACCAAGTTTGGACAAGAATAGCAGATAATAATAAAATGTGTATCTGTGTATCTCTCACATACACATAGACATCTAAATTTATTTTTCAGAAGACTTTATTCATGTGTTGTTTGTTTTTTTGTTTTGGTTTGGGTTTTTTGGGGTTTTTTTGGTTTTGTTTTTTTGGGGGGAGGGGTTTGGGGTTTTGTTTGTTTGTTTGTTTGGGGTTTTTTGTTTTTTTGTTTGTTTGTTTGTCTTTTTAAGAATTAAAAAGCCATTTACTGGCCCTTTGACCATTTCCAGTGGCCGTGACAGCGGTGCTCTGAGCAATTCCCCTTTCCCTCTTTCTGCCCCCGCTGTGCTGCCCGGGCTGCCGTGCGTTATCTGCTGCTGTGGCACACCTCGGAGCACATATCAGCCCTGAGGTGACTCCCAGTTGCTTCAGTCATGCGAATATCACCTTTGACCATGGCTCTGTAAAAGTGCCTATGTCCCCATGGTCACACGGGTGTGCTGAAGATAGACTGCCAATGCACAAAGGAACCAAAAATTTGTTTTTAACATTGCTACAAATACAATTACCAGTTGATTCCTCAAATACTTTAGAGACAATGCAAACAAATCTGTTGCCAGCTCAGTTGCCAGTCTCAGTCTCCATCAGAAGAAGATCAGAATTTGCTAACTCTTCAGGGCTGGGTTTTTTAAATTATTACTTACATCTTCCCTGTGTTTTCTGGGTTTTTTGTTTGGCTTTTTTTTTTTCCCTAGAGTGTACACGAAATAGATCACTGAAGAAGACAGTGATAAGGAGGTATTGGTGCAGTTTGCAAAAGCAACTACTGTTGATCATTTAGGTGATTAGGTTCACTCCTCTCAAGCTTTCCTCACACGAGAGTCTTCTGAGTGTTTTGCCCATCCACATCTTTCTGGGTATTTCCACTGAGGTATTGACCTATCAAGGTGAGTCACACCTGATGGAACTGGTTTTGACACTGATGGTTATTACCCTCACTGCCATTCAGGCTCAGCAATTATGGGATAATTTGTCTTCTGAAATCCCAAGTCTTGCAATAGAATGAAAGATCTTCCATCAGGCACTACAAATCCTCTTTGGAAGTTTTGGTTCATCATATTTACTCCACCTCTAACAACATTTTAAATCCAAGGAGCTTTATGCTGAGAGGATCCTTGTCACTAGTTCCTTCTCTTGTGAAATGGGAAGCGCCCTGTTGTTCTGGGCAGTGCTTCTGTATATTACATCTTCACAAGCTCTGAATGCATGATTGCTTTTTATTGCTACTGAACAACCTTTGAGTAAACATGAATCACTCTTTATGGCACCAAATTTGAAATGTTTCCTTACCAGCTACGTCGATTATCTGCCCAGGTAGGAATTTGATAATGATCTGTAGTACACACAACATTTTAAAATAGAACAAGCTTCTTTTCTACACATTGCTGCTGTCCCTACTGTTATGGGAAAAAAAAAAAAAAAAGAAAGAAAAATCTCTCTCTGACTGGTATGGATTCTAAGTGTAACAAATTTTACATATTTTTTAACTACTTGTAAGACCTTCAATCCATTTAATTCTTTCTGTAATCTGTATATCTGTATATCTGTGTATGGGTGTATCTGTGTATCTATATATCTGTAAATGCAATTGTACTTTCCTTCTGCTACAAAGCAAAAACCAGTGATTATTTTGGGATTATTTCTGGATTACCTGCAGCTGCTTATATTTATCTGTATTAAAACTAGTGACCTGAACAGTCAAGGAATAGCATCATAGATGTTGATGTAAGTTTGTTTGGCCAAAGAAGTCCCAGCACAGCAGGTGGCAAAGATGAGTGGATGTGAGGCTACAGGTTGAATGGCTGCTGTCTTCAGCAGGGAGGTGTTTCCCCAGGGTGCAGGAACTCCCTTGAGGCAGAGGTGGTGATCTCCAAAGAGGGTCATTATTAAAAAGCCATGAGGGATTTTCAAACCAAGGTACTGAGCTGTTGAATGCCTTTTCCCTTGCTACTGATGTAACTGGCCAGGCAGCAGTGGTGTCTGTCCCAAATAACCAGTGATACCACAGCAGCAAGAGCGTGTCCATGTACACATTTCCACTCCTTTGTGTCCCCAGGAGGCTGATCTTCAATGCATGTCTTCATTTGTACCTTGTAGGAGCAGAGTGGCTGCAGAGAGCTGCTGTGGTGAACCAAAAGGGAGCCCCAGGGTAAAACTGAAGCTGTGTCTGTTACGTACCTTTCAGCATGAAAGATGGGAAAAGATTCTACTGGGTAGAATCATGAAAATAAAATATTGTAGGACTGAGAAAGTCCTGCTGGAGACTGGGTGGAGGGAACCTAGCCTCTCTTCCTAGGAGAATGAAGTCAAGGTGAGTGGACCCCAGAAGACTCATCTGACAAACCTGAATTAGCTTCTGAAAAATGTAGCTGACTTCCATCTGTTGTCCATATTTCAGGATAAGGGATATTGCTTCCTGGAAATGGTGTATCAGACAGGGTGCTGAAGA